TAAATCGCAATCATTGCGTTCATGTTTGAGTTTCTCGTCAATACACATTTACCTTAAATTATGAAAGTTTGATTATACTGACAGTTTCGTCAATTCTGATTTTGACCAATCAGAGTGCAGTGCAGACCAATCAGACTGATAATTTCCCTGTCGCCAGTCAATTATTTTCTACGAATTTGCCAAATATTCCTCACATTTTGGTGAAATGTGTCCCGTAACCCTGAACACCGCACCCTGATCGGCTAAAATCAGAATTGAAGAAATTGTCCTCCGAATACCCCTCGACCTTCAAAATTCATCGGATATTTTCCTCAAGTTTTCCTGCATATCAACGATGGTTGCTATATAATCAAACATTCGGGAAATATCCGATAATTTTGAAGGTCATGCCATTTTTGGGGTATTATAGCTGAAAAAGCTTTCATTCAAACCCCGAATAAAAAGACCCAAACAATGATTAAAAAAATGACTGTTAATTAGCAATAATGAATAGCAGATTATATTTGTCATTTTGTCGCTCGTATATGACGCAACTCAATGTCCTTTCACATACACAATTCGGTCAGGGTCAGAGAACGGATAGGCACTGGTCAATTTTGTCTATTCCAAACGGAAAGAAAAATGGCGCTTATTCCACCTCGCTAATCGCGAATTGAGATAGTGTTCATGAAATTTCCTATTTTAATTTGGTACACTGTTAGAAATTTTCGTCTGAATTTTCCGTTCCAAATTCCGGAAATTTTTATCGTGTCCAAGTTCCACTGAAATTTCAGGAAATCTTGTCATTGAAAAATCAAATATTCCATTGATTTTCTGTTCAAATGATGAGGACATCAATAAAATACTTGATTTTTCAGTTCAGTTATTCTGTGAAAATGCAGAAAAATCAGGAAAATTTAGGTAAAAATAGGAAATTCATGTCATTTTGTTTGTGAATATTCATGGTTCACTGAAAATTCAATCAAGTTGTAAAATTTCCATATCACTCCCACAAAAAATTCATGAATTTCCGTGAATTCTACTTAGAACTTGAAATTTCATAACCGTTGTTCCCCTAAATCCGATTCAATGTCACTCTCATGTGATTTACTATCATATCTTACGTGAAATTTCAAAAAATTTCTAATAGTGTAATTGTTGACGCAGTAAAAAGTTAGCTTTGTCTACGTTTTAGGCAATTCAGAGAACAGCACCAACTCTTTTCTATACTTTCTACTTGCTACTTGAATTCTCAATAAATGATCTCTTACACGGAGAGAAATATTCAGTAGTCATACCACTAGTGCTTTAAAATTATCGAATATTTTCCGATAGCTTCGTTGCCTCGGAACGATTGTGTCAAATTTTGCAGGTTTAAAATCCCGAGTGCGAAACACGAGGGGTTTTTCTGCAAAATTTGACACTCTCGTTCCTAGACAGGGAAGCTTGAGGAAAATATCCGATTAATTTTGAAGCACGAGTGGTCTTTGACGGATTATTTTTCCACTCGGATTTCGGCCAAGCAGAGTGCAGTGAACACCCGGATACATTTACACAGCCATACATTTACAACCCACTTTTTTGTTTATCTGTCACACAGAATATTAATCGTGAAATGCGTTGAAAGATGAGAAACATTTGGAAAGCTACCGGTGAATTTTCCGTCGGAAATTTTTTAGAAATTTCCGAAATAAAACTGTTTGACAGCCTCAAATACTGCGCTCTGATTGGCTGAAATCTGAGTGAGAAAAATAATCAATAAAAATTACGTATCTTTTCCGTAATTCCATCACGTAATTTTGACCTAAACGCACGGACTTTTTCCAGAACGTTCCGTAATTTTTATCTGAATCTCCTATGAAAAACTACGATACTGTCACTTAAATTTTCTGAGTCGATTCCGTAATCAGTGAGCGGACTGCGAGTTCCATAATTTTTACTGAACATTTCTTTCCGTGTACCAATTTTTACTCACACAATTCTGCTCTCTCTTCAATGGAACTTGCTCTTGCCAGACAAAATAAGCGTCGATACAAAGTGAGTGTTCAATTCCTGACACAAAATTGATCAATATCCGGTTTTATTCATTTGTCTCTGATTACGTAATAATTTAAATTTCCACATAGGGGGCGGTGCGGGTGAGAATCTCGCTGTTACACATCAGTTCATTTCTGGAATATTCAACAGAATTTCAATTTTCAGGTCCTTAAGACAATGGGAATCACCGAGAATCATGAAAATTCAGGAAATCATTGTCCTGGATTTTAATCTATCAAAAATCCAATTCAATATGATATTTCATTTCCATAATAGGTTTTATACCGCTAGCCATAATTGAAATATTAACTTATCACCTGTCATAAAAAGTCAATTTTACTGCCGTTCCAAGATAAGTAACAAATTCCATGGACAATTTTATCTTGAAACAAATGCAAATGCCCAAATTTTAAAAAACTTGAATGTAAAAAAAATTTCAAACGCGCATTGTACAAGAGTTATGACACTACAGGTATGAAACTAGCGCACTTTGTTAACCACATGTTGCAACTTTTGTAAGCATTCTGCAAATAGATCTGAAAAGCAACTCCTAAGAGGTAATTAGTCTACTAATCCTATATGAACCCAATTGTGTGAAAAATATTTGTTTCTTTCAATATTTCTCGGCGTAACAGCAAGTGTATTGAGTTAAATGATGCAGTAAAATCGAAACGTTTTTACTACATAAGATTCATCACCCCCGCTCCGATTATTCTCCCAATTTTTGCATTAGTAGTGATTTTTGAGTAAACTAACAAATTTCGGGAATTGGCAAACTTTGGCTAGAAAGAAATCAAATACTCTCATTATTGCGACAAATAAAAAGAACTTTAACACTAGAGAAGTTCGATTTCTCCCAATCAAATGTCTCTCAAGAAGCGATAAGTAGTAACTCCTACGAAGTAATTAATCTGCTAATGCTGTAGAAACCCAATTGTGTGAGAAATATTTGTTTCTTTCAATATTCTCAGCGTAACAGCAAGTGTATTGAGTTAAATGATGCAGTAAAATCGAAACGTTTTTACTACGTAAGATTCACCACCCCCGCTCCGATTATTCTCCCGGGCGCGCGAAATGAACCGTGGAGGGAAACGAACCCCTAGGGCGAAATGGACCCCTGACGTAAATCTCGAGGTTTTTCTTTATTGTCCGACAATGACTCTATCAGACAAAATGAAGAAGTAGACTAGGGGACAGGCAGAGTTACGAAGAGACAAAATGGACAAACTAAGCGACAACTAGGATGAGTTCCAGACAGAATAAAAGACCAGACATGATATAATAGAAGCAAAATGAGAAAATAATTGACTAAGGCAGAGTAGGGAATGAAGTGAAGAACAGAACGAAAACAAAGCAGGTGATTCCAAAAAGATATCGGTATTCGTCGTGTCGATATATTTTATTTTATTTTATTATTTGCCATGTATACCCTACTCGGGTTTTTACAAGTTCCCTAATTTTGCGGTTATCATGGGCCGACTTCCTCTCCAACCGTGTCGCATTGTACCCCAGGAGCAGAATAAAAAACTTACTAATCACATCCCATCAATTCCCGTCCCACGTGACGGGAACCACCACTACACCTCCATGTAGCATATCATCAAACTTACTAATCTCATCCCATCAACTCCCGTCAATTCCCGTCCCACGTGACGGGAACCACCACCGCCGTGCACAGACTCTCCTAGTGACCAAGGGAAACCATGGAAAACCTTTTCTCGACACGGACGTCCATCGACCGAGCATCATCGAGGAATGTTTTTCTACCATTTCTCCGATGATTCTCGGTGTCTAGACTACCGTTCGACGGTTTCCGAAGGATTAAAAAATCCCTGCCCCCAAGCCGAACTCGAACCCGCGCCTCACGGGTCCCGCCATCCGGCCGAGCGATTTAACCACTTCGGCTACCATCGTCAGTTCGTCGTATCGATATATAAATATTGAACTCATCGCTACAAATAAAATCAAGATGATGACTCATACAAGAATCCTACGATTATTAGTTATATACTAGAGGGCTACGCCCCCTGCTCGCTTCACTCGCCAACCTGCATATGCGCCACATATGACCTCTATGATCCTTATTCTGACCCTTATGACGCTTAGTTTCTGACCCCCATAGCTCTTATATGAACCCTTACTGTGATCCTTGTGATCCTTATCTGTATCTTAATCTGATCCTTACGACCCTTATTTAGACCCGTAATCTGGAGCCGTTATTTGGAACATCACTCTAGTCCTCATGACCCTTAATCTGATTCTCGTAACCCTTACTCTGACCCTTATGGCCCTTGTGATTTTTATTCTGGCCCTCGTGATCATTATTCTGACCCTTATGACCCTTATTCTGACCCTCGTGACCCTTCCTCTGATCCCTCATTCTGACCCTAGTGACCCTTATTCTAACCCTTATGGCCCTCATTTTGACCCTCATCACCCTTATTTTGACCCTCGCGAGTCTTAATTATGGAGTCTTAATTTCGAGTACCAAATTTTTATCACCAGAAGTCGATTTGGATTCTTACAATATAGAGACATACAATATTACCACCTGTCCCTCAGTCTATTTGTTGTTTTCTAAATCGCTAAAACTGTCTTCCATACTTTCTGCGTGAAGAAGTCTTCGTTGCAATTAAGCAAAAACACAAAAGCAAAACAAACGTAACTCAGATTGAAATGAGAAGTTGAGTCTATAATACCTTCAAGGCAGGCTAAACTTTGTGTCCAACGATTCATATTGCCTTCTACTGCTCCATTAGGTGACAATCACAGCCTTCACGTGAAAGATGAAATGAATACAAAATTTGACAGCATCTAATTCCTATTTGTTCTGTCACACATGAGAAATAGTTTTTCCAAAGATCTGTACAGAAAACCGTTCAACAACTATAGCCAATTCATGACTACGTATCTTTGTTCAGTAACAAAAGAAAAGTGAGATTTTTATCAAGCAATCCCGACTAAACCAATAAAATTTGTTTCAGGTATCGGCCACAATATCGAAGCTGGAAAAGATTTCACGGTGGATGGATTATCGGGTTTCAGCAAAAAGAAAAAAAAGAAACGTCGGCATAGGTGAGTCTCTGACGTGAATTGTATACATGCCATCCCTGTGCTATGATTTCTGTTGCAAGTAGATAATTCTATTAATGCAAAAGCGGTTCAGAGGTGAATAATACCATATTATCTCACAAGGCTAGTAACAGTATTTTCCGGCGAAAGTAACCTTGGAATCTGAGCCGAAGACGAGGATCACAATCACATGAGTGGGAAGATACTTTTATCGCCATGTGACATACTAGTATATTACGCAACAAGTGCGTAATGGGTTTTTTGGCTCGTGGGAAGTTGTAAAACGAGCCGAAGGCGAGTTTTACAATCCCACGAGTGAAAAAACACCATTACGCACGAGTTTCGTATACTATTTTCGTATACCTCGCTTCGCTCGCTTCGCTCGGTAGAATCGCGGATTCTGGGCACCTATGACATAAAATATTTTATGTCCCAAACACTGACAGAAAAAATTATTTTTATTGATATGTTTCTTTCTTAGAACAAGTATTGTAAACTTGAACCAATTTCAAGTAAATAAGATCTTACGGTGAATATCAATTATTTATTCTGGAGATACATTTACTTGAATCAAATAAAACAGTCCTTAGGGTCAAGTCATATGTATTCACTACGAAAATGGAAAAGTTCTATTTTTTTAAACTTAATATAATCTCCAGTCGAGCAATTTTCTACTTTCATGAATTGATCAAAAATTCGTACCTAGGAGATGATTACATTGATGAATGAATTGAATGTTGTTTTCTCGAATGAAGCCGATGTTGAAATTGAGGTTTCCGTATACCATATTGAACGAATTTGTGATTTCCAAGTTTGTGTTGCATTTCCGTAATCTGTGATTCTGTTATTGTAAACAATGCGATTTTTTTAGTCATGAAATATAAACTTCTGTCAACTGAACGATATCTCACTACAATCAAAGCTTTTCCGCGTAACAATATTCATCCTGATTTGACATACGAAATGCTCATTGCAATTATAATTTACTTGGAACAACGTGTCATCGTGTTGATTGAGATAACAACGTATTTAGTTTTGAGTAAACCAATGAATTTCGGGAATTGGCAAACTTTTGGCAAAGGAACTTCAATTCTAGAGAAGTTAGATTTCTCCCAATCAAATGTATCTCAAGAAGCGATAACTGGTATTCACTATGAAATCATGCACTGATCGAACGGATTAGTTATTGTTAACGAATGGATTTTGGTTGGAGGTTAGGGTCTATTCGGTCTCACCAAATGTTCATTCGTTAATAGTTAACGAACGTATATTTGAGGAGCCTTCTTTGACTTGACTTTCGCTATTCAAGTGAACCATTCGTTAACTATTAACGAATATTCATTAGGTCATATTCAACTCTACCATTCGTTAATAGTTAACGAATCTCGTTTGAAATAAATGAATCATTCTATCAGTGTGTTTATTTGAAAACTAACAATCAAATGAAAGTTGGTTCAACTAAAACTCTCTTGGTATAATTAATTTTTTCTGTCAGTGAACAGAACAAATACAGCGAAAACCACGTTCTAGCCGAATGAAGTAAGTACTGGTCTTAGGGACATATAAAAAGTCACTTCACACCCGACGGAATAGTTTTTTTCCGGATAATTAGCCACAGAACCGAAACACACCGACTAGATTCCATAGAGCCTTGACCTGAACGCTCAGCTATCCCTCTGGTTATGTGTCTTCCTGATCTTGACATGTTGATTGTCAGTCGGACGGATGACACAGCTATACGTCTGCGGGGAGAAAAGACAAATACTCTAGAACCCTGAAGAAGATACTTATTAGCCACATTAATACGATTATATATCAAGGCATATACGTACTAATTGCATTAATTTTCATGCATATATTCATATAAATTGGTTGTTCGATCTGCTCAGGCCACACACAAAAATCGATGAGGACAAATCAATACTTGCTTAGGGTATTCTATCTTTACTTAAGCTCATTTTACCCTTTTCGTTTCGGAAGTAAAACACGGAAAAAAATACACCTGAATTGATTATAAAATACAATAATATCAAGTATACTTTTTACTCAATTGGGCGATGGACATTTCAATTCGAAGATGATTTTTTTGCATCAGCCCTGGTTGCAGCAGGCCCTCTTAAGTGTAATATAAGGATCAGGCACTAAGGCTCGGAATATAAGGGTCAAAAAGTGGAGGTTAAATAATGAGGGTCAGAATATTAGGCTCAAAACATTAGGGTCAGAATATAAAAGTAAAAAAAGTGGGTGTCAGGCAATGAGGGTCTAGATATGTCATATATTATGCTTGATCACCGCTTTTAGCCCTTATATGACCCTCATTGCCTGACACCCCCTTTTTTTATTTTTATATTCTGACCCTAATTTTTTGATCCTAATATTCTGACCCTCTTTTTTTAACCCTAGCATTCTGATCCTCCTTCCTTCACCTTTACATTCAGGCCCTCCGTTTTTGACTCTAACTTTCCGACCCTCATTTTTTAACCTCCACTCTTTGACTCTTATATTCTCACACTTAGTATCTGACCCTTATATTACACTTGAGAGCACTTGGTACAACCCGGGCTGATACGAAATAATCATTCTCGAATTGAATCACCCATCCCCCATTCAAATCAAGTATATTTTATTCCTGAATCAGGTTTATTCATATACTTGATTCGAGTATAAAATATACTCAAGGTATATGTTTTTCCATGAATAATTCGAATTTATTGATGATCTATCCTTTCCCGGTATGAGTCATTCTATCCAGTGATGCAGGGAGAAACTTCACGAGACATCCCGAGACAATACTTTGGAGATATTATCTCGGTCTCAGCACTGAGAGAAAAATCTAACGTTCGATTTACAATAAGAAAATAGTTGAGGCAGTTTTGGTGAACGATACGATTTTTTTTTGTATGCGGCACATAACATTATAGTAACTTCACAAGCGTAATTTTTGCAAATCAAAATGCAGTTAAACTAACCAAAGTTCAAAAGTAACCACGACAAATCTATCGTGAGTAGAACTATAAAATAGTTGCAATGACTAGATTCCATTGTAGTAATCACTTCTCCGGCCATAGTTACCGTAACCCATGAGAAATTGTTGAGGACTTTTCAACTATAATTCGATGGTGATGGAATATAGTCAGAAGAATCATATTTTTCTCTCAGTGAGTCATTACTGCGTATGTCGAGAGTGATTGTGAGACGAGACCAAAGATTTCCAGGTTCATCGAGACCGCGACCCTCTCTCCAAAATATTGTCTCACAAAGCGTCACTAATTCTACTCTAATTGTCTCTCACGGCATCACTAATTCTAAGCCCTAGAGAAGACTAAAATACGGCGATAGAGATTAATAATGTTTCATCATATTTCTTTGTGTGCCCCTACAATAAATTTGTTTTAAATATTTTAATTGAGTTTTCCCAACATAAAAAAACATTATTAACAGCCGAAAATTATTGTGTATTCAACGAACGAGATAATTACATACCTATAACGCGCAAGGGAATGGAGAGGATTGGAAATTTAGCACGTCATGCTAACGTAAACCACCTGTACAGCGGTGGAACTCTACCCGAGGAAATGACTTTGAATTTTGGATATTATTTCGTTCCCTGTCTCATAGGATGCTATTTGGTACGGTACATACCGTATAATACCCAACAATGAAGCCGTCAGTTGGCCAAGCCCTTCAAAGCCCGTCATAATTATTGAAAAAATACTCTTCACAGATAATTGGACGTCTCCCTGTCAAATTATCACGTCATAGTTCGGGCTATTGTATCATTTCATTACATATTTCTCTTTCCTCTGATAATAAACCAAAATAATCAATACCCGGTTAACGCGTAGCCTTAAGGCAGATGTTGTAATGGCATATAACTAGGTTCACGTGGTTGTTGCTCCAGGACGATCTTCACGTCTCAACAGCTGGAGGAGCTGGAAGCGGCATTCAAAGAGGCTCATTATCCCGACGTTTATGCTCGTGAGATGCTCAGTCTGCGGACGGATCTACCAGAGGACAGAATACAGGTAAAATAATAATTCGATCAATAAACAACACTAGAGTCAGAGCCACTGAGGACTACATTGAGCACGCGATAACTTGAAGAGCTTCAATAATTGATAATTTCATTTTGAAGAATGAGAATGAGAAAAACCGCAAGGAGAGAGGGAAGAAAGGAAATAATTTTAAAAAAAGACACGAGTGTATGGAGTCCCCTACGTTCGCTGGGTCGTTTTCGCGTGACAGCACCGGAACAAGGTTCTCTTTTCCCCTTCTATCAGAAAGTTTCTCAACGCCCACACGCGCTCAATCTTACTTCGCGCACTGTACGCTGTGTGTACAGTAGTAACACATATTTACAAAACGACAGCATCATTCTCGTATGAGTACATAACTTTGTTGAGGTCCACCTACTGCTGAAACCGGACATATTACGTAAAGTCAAATATATAAATAAACCAACACATGGATACATCAACGGGCACATTGAAGCTTAAGTATTTCGAGTGAAAAGAGGAGGGTTTACCGTATATTTTGAAATAATCGCCGAGTAGAGGCATTCGTCGAGTTGAACTCGGATTTAGTTCGTAATGGTAGCGGAAGGGGTATAGGGAATGGTGAGTAGTGTGAGGAGATTTTGAACGCAAGAGAGGTACAGGAGGTGGATGAAATGAACGGGGGGTATAGAAAGCGCGTGCAGGGGTGCGCATTGAACGTACTGGCGCGTACACACTGACAAAGCAGCCATTGCAGGGTGGGTGCGGTTCCACGGGCCAATCAGGACCGCAGTACGCGAGCCACGGGGCCAATCAGGGCGCGCCTTCGCGACGTCTTTTGTTTCAAAGGATCCCCTTGCCTCGCCTGCACCCACATAGCGTTCAAAAGGGGACACAATATAACGAGAAATCCGGGATATTTTGTGTAGGTGGGGTTCCAAAGGGGTGGGGAATTCCGTATATATAATCGTTAACGGCTATATTTTCGTAGTGAACCACTGTATCTTCTCTTTTTTTTGTGCGCCTATACACTATAATCCCTCACTCCAACGTTGTCTCACTTCCTTCAACCGACCTTTGTAGGGAGGTTGCTCATTATTCCATCTCTTTCTCCTCCTTCATTTTCCTTTTTGGCTTCGCTTTTTTATTATTTACCATCTCAAAACTGTTTATGCTCCATACCTGCCTATTCTGTCGCTCGCAAAACTAGGAATAAAGCCGTAACGAACGTATATTTGTGTGCATGGGCCTGACGAAAGAGGGCTGAACCCTCAGGCCGAAGGCGGTTACCACTATTCGGAGTGGCGGAACATCCTTTTACATATATTCTTGGGAGAGTGTATGGGTTTTCCTAGTTATCATTATCCGCTCTTTACTAGTTTTTTCGAGTTAAAGAAGTTTAAAGCTCCTCTTTTCGGGTATGGGAACTAGACGCTGTGAGAAATGTATTGAAATATCAGTCACCGCGTCAGCTGAATTTTCCATTTTGTGAGAGTGAATTCAATTGGAAATGAAAGCGTTCACTAAATTTCTCATTCATCTTGATAATTCAAGAAAATTGGGGTTTTCACGTTAAACAATCATTGATTTTTCAATGACAGCTTGGATTTTCAAACTCGTCGTGAAAATTGAATGTCACATACAATTCAATTTTGAAGAGATTGAAAATTTAGAAAAGTTGTTGCCTGAATTTTCAAAATTTCCAATGTTTTTCAGCACCTTATCGACCGGAAAATCGATAATTATTTGAATATTCAAGAAATTAACTAATTCCTCAATGAAGACATATACAGAAACTTCAAATTTAGCGTTGCTAAAAATTTCAAGTTGTTTCACTTGAAATTTCAAGAATAATTTTCCAATATTGAAACGAACTTTAAAACTCCTCTTTTCGGGTATGGGAATTAGATAGTGTTAGAAATTTCTTGAATTATCAGTCACCGGATCATCTGAATTTTCGATGCTGTGAGGGTGAATTCAATTTCAAATGAAAGCGTTCACTAAATTTCTCATTCATTTTGAAAATTCACGAAAATTGGGTTTTTCATGTTAAACAATCATTGATTTTTCAATGAAAGCTTCGATTTCCAAACTCATCGTGAAAATTGAACATGACATGCAATTCAATTTTGAAGAGATTGAGAATTTGGAAAAGTTGGTGCCTGAATTTTCAAAATTTTCAAAGTTTTTCAGTATCTTATCGACCAGAAAATCGAGAATTATTCGAATATTCAAGAAATTAACTGATTCCTCAATGAAGAAATATACAGAAATTTCATATAACTTTGTCGTTGTTCAAAATTTCAAGCTTTTTCACTTGAAATTTGAAGAATAATTTTCTAACACACGGAGAGAAAAATTCAATAAAAATTACCAGAAAAAAAACGTGAAAATTACATTTCGAAACGTAATCCGCAAGCGAAGTAAAATTCAATAAAAAGTGTGGGTCGGAACTAAAATTGTACGAGTCGCCACATAAATTCGACGATTTGTTTCGTAAAAATTAACCATCCGTCTGATGATTCACCGTTGTGGGGACAACAAGTCGTTTCGTAATTTTTCCGCAACGATTGAGAAATTTTACGGAACGGAACGTGAAAATAACTTCATAAAAATTGTTGAACATTCAAGAATTTCTGATTTTGGAGGCATAATAAGTTGGGAAGTTTCTGTAAAATTTTAGTTCTTGGAAAAAATTACGTGACAATTTCGTACTTGTTCGGTGATGAACCTGAAACTTCCCTGAACGTTTCAGATTTATTCTCTTCCATTCCTATAAAAATTGCCGGAAACGATTCCCCATTGCGGATTACGTGAATTGTTCCGTAATTTTTACTCAATATTTCTCTCCGTGCAGTGAAGCGTTGGAAAATTCTATCATATATGATGTCTGTACTATGTTGAGATGGTGGGTATATATTCATCAACTATCTTTCTGTTTATCATCGAGCGTGAGCCCCGCCACATGCGCTGCGTAATGGACGATCAAGTTATTAAATTGTTCAGCTAGAATATGCCCATATTATAACTTTGATATCTCCCCGCCACGCGCGCATATATGTGAAATAATTAATCATCATATTATTTCCTCTTATTACAAGCTTTCCATTAACGCCCAAATATTAATTATCATTTAATTGACTTTTCATTATAATTGTCGCTCGATGATTTTTAGACGAAAGGACGGTTGACTGGTTTCATAGTTGATCCTGTAAATCTGGAGAATTTACCAAACACTACACTGACAGAAAAATGTCCTAATATGTCGGTAGATGTCGGACTGTTAAAAATTTTCTTCTGAATTTTCCGTGCCGAATTCCGGAAATTTTTATCGTGTCCAAGTTCCACTGAAATTTCCGGAAATCTTGTCATTGAAACATCAAATATTCCATTGGTTTTCAGTTCAAATGATCTGGAAATCAATAAAATACTTGATTTTTCAGTTCAATTATTCTGTGAAAATTCAGAAAAATCAGGAAAATTCAGAGAAAAAGTGAAAATTCATGTCATTTTATTTCTGAATATTCATGTTCCACTGAAAATTCAATAAAGTTGTGAAATTTCCATCTCACTCCATTGAAAACTCATGAATTTCCGCGAATTGTACTTAAAACTTGAAATTTTATAATCATTTTTTCCCTAAATTCGATTCAATGTCACTCTCACGAAATTGACTCAAATATCTTCCATGAAATTTCAAAAAATTTCCAACAGTACGTTATTCTCGGAATTTTATTCCCCTAGAATCCCTGTGGTATCTCATAGGAGGATTGAACTGTAATCGTTGCAGACAAAGACAGACAGATCAGGAAAAGAGCGTCGTTACTTCCACTATATCGTGAATTGTTGGGCAAATAACTATAAATACTTCCCCAGTTTGCTTATGTTGGCCACCTTATCAGAAAGAATCACAGGATATCGGCGAAAAAAGCGCCGATGTCTAATAATTTGTAACAAAAAAGACGTTTCGCTAAACACATCAATTTCTTCAGAATCTTGACACACTCAACGTTGCTGTCCGGCTACAAGTTCGATCCATCACACGAAACTCTATAACAGTAATGGATTAAATATAACCTTCTTACACCTGAAACAATCACCGAAATCATCCGAAATTTTTATTGAATATTTCCCTCCGTGCATTGATTTTTCCATCGGTATTAAATTCTGTATGCGAATTCGGGCCTTCTACACTGATAGAACAGATTAGTTATTGTTAACGAATAGATTTCGGTTGGAGGTTGGGGCCTATTCGGTCTCACCAAATGTTCATTCGTTAATAGTTAACGAATCTCGTTTGGAATAAATGAATCATTCTATCAGTGTACACTGTCAGAAATTGTTTGAAAATTAAGCAATAGTTGCCCGTGAATTCTCAATGTTGTGAATTTGAATTCAATTTAAGATCAAATCGTTCATGGAATCTCTCATTCAGGTTGGAAATTCAGGATAATTGGGTTTTCCATCTTGGATTATGACTGATATTGATGTTCAATATGATATTTCAAATTGAACATCACATCCAACGGAATTTTCAGTGGATTGAAAATTCATGAAAATTGTTGCTTGAATTTTCAAATTATTGAATAATTTTCATTATCATGTGGACCTGAAAATTGCAATTCCATTGAACACTCCAGCATTCAACTGATTTTTCAATAGCAAAATACATGAAAATTTCGTGTAACTAGGGATTGTTAAAAATTTCAAGATTTTTTACTTGAAATTTCAGGAGTAATTTTCTAACAGTGTAATGAGTTAAGAAAAAAAACAAAAATTGCCTTCGAAATGTATCTCATCCAAGTCATATGAAAGCACTTTATGCACGAGAAAAACAATGATTAATAGCGTTTTTGTTGCACCCAAATCCATTGTAAAAGACAACGAAAATCAACAAACACGTATTTTGTTAACGACAACAGCGGTACACGGAGGCGCAAAGTGACGGCCAGGAAAAAATTCCAGTGCCGGCTCTAGAAATTTTATTGGGAAAACGTGAATTTTTCCCCGTATTTCTGTGAAAATTTCAC